CGTTTCCCAAAGCGGGATCGACTGTGAAAAGAGCGTCTTGGACAGAAAATGTTGAGAAGGACGTAAGCTAGTGACATACATTGCATATTACTGTGTGATGTTCTTATGCAAAGTTATAAGGTGGTCACCCTCATAAAAGCCGTAGTGCGTTTTTATTTAAAAAAAAAAAATAAAAAAATTTGGGATCCTTGCTTAAAATTGTGGTGCAAAGTAGTGGGGTCGACTTTCACTATTGCAGTGATTGTTACTAAGTGAAATGCACTATAAATAATACCGCATGTGTTCTTTCGAAAAAAAAATATATTGGAAGTTGTGGTTCGCACTACACTGTGTATATACATATATCCGCTTATCGTATGTTCCTTAGGAAGTTTAAATCTCATAGCTGGTCTCTGATTGTTCTCGTCAATCTTGTTAAAGTTGGGTAGGAAAAGATTTTATGGCTTTAGTGCATTTTGTGTGCGATTTTTATTCCTTTTCATCCTTAGGCATACTTGCATATGATTTCCTTTTAGAACAAGACCCAAGTGTTTGTGCAGGACGTATTCAAGGATAAAATCTGATTTCTTTCCTAAGTTTCGAAATAACGAGAGCCGTTATTGATGTGAGAAGTTATGGTATGTTTGAATTTTGGATTATTGGAGGGATTAGTTTCACTAATTGTACTTTTTGAATTTTCCCTATCCTTCTTTCTCTCTCCTAAAACCGCCCACAATACCTTCTTGATTTTCGGAAACTACCTTTTGCGGTTTATTATGACCACACGTATCTTTTGTTTTTAAATTTCCTTCTCTCTCTCCTTCGCTCAACTGTACACCGATTCAAACCCTAATTTCCCCTTCTCAATCTTCATTCTTCTCCCATGGCTGGAGGAAAAGACAAATCCAAGAGGCGGCTTCAGAAGCAGAAAGAAAAGCGACTCAAGCGTCGCCGTCTTTCCATGTCCACTGGTACTGTTCGTGAACCATCACCACCAGCAAAAGAGCCGACCCCTGAATCTTCACCTTCGACTAAGTCGGTTTCTCTCTCCTCTTCCCCGTCTGGTTCTCAGTCGAAGTCTGGCAGCGTCCGCAAGAACCTTGAACTCTCACCGCTGGCAACTGGCGTTCCTGGACTCTCTGGGTTTGATGAACCTCTTGCCGTCCCAACTCAGGGGGAGTCGTCTGCTATTCCCACTTCTGCAACCAAGTCTATCACCAAGACAACGACCACCGAGGGTGAAAAAGATGATACCGCGGCTACAGCAGTTGAAGTTCATTCTAATCAGCCATCTCCTCCTCCAAAGGTTCCAGTCCGCCGTTCCACTCGCCGTCGTGGGAAGTCCATCGATGAACCCCTTGTCCCTCCTGAACCTGAAGATGATGCATATGACCTTGAGAATACTTTCACCAATCGGTTCTATACAGAGGCGGCTCATGAACGCTTTGTGAGTTTCGGATCTTATGAGTTCTGGTCCGAGCATCCTGTGACAGACGGTAAGTTTGCTGATCTTGGTGTCCTTCGTTTGATCGAGCAAGTCGGTCTCTCTAAAACTGTGTCTGATGTTCAGCCCTTCTGTGGCCAAGCTGTCAAAGAATTCAATGCTAATCTCACCCCTGCTGTTTTTGATTCTGATAGCCCTCGTTTTCATAAACTATTCCTTCGCAACCGTGTGATTGATGTATCTCCTGCTCTGTTTAATGCCCATCTTGGTTTGCCCTCTGGTCTTGATAGTTCTTCCCTCTCTGATGTTGATTTGGATGAAATGACCAAAGTTCTTACTTCTGGTCAGTTGGATACTTGGCCTGGTTCTAATCTTTCTGTGAATTCTTTCTGATTAGTTGCTAATCTGTTGCATAAAATTGGTGCTGGCAACTGGACCCCTACTTCTAATAAAACTTTGCTTACCGAGCTGCAGAGCAAAGTTATTTATTGGGTCATGATTGGGAAGGTTTTCAGTTTTGGGGATCTTTTCTTCCAAATTCTTCAATCCTTTGTCGCTAACATTGAGTCTCGGAAAACCCTTCCTTTTCCTTGTCTTATATGGTCCTTCTTGGCTGCTCATAATTTCTCTGTTAATCTCCGCTTCCAAGACTCTCTCGAGAACCCCAGAAAGGCACTCACTGTCAGTGCTCGTACTCTGAATGAGAAAGGGATTTCCAAGGTCACGAGGGAACTGGCTCCTTCCTTGGTGCCTAAGAATTGGGGTGAGTTCGTGGCTCAGCAACTTGGAGAGTGGGATGATTTGGCCAAGAAGGTCGCTGCTCAGCAGGCCTACCTTCGTCAAGTGCTGCAGGCTGTCAAGGGATTGAATCGTACCTCGGGACAGGCCCTTCGGCATCCCGTAGTTCGAAAAAGGGGGAGAAGGTTGCTGATAATAGCGATGGCAAAGATGATGAGGAGTCTGATGAGGCTACTGAGAAGCTTGGAGATGAAGAGTAGTCAGCCTTTAGCTTTTGATTTCTTTGTGTGTTTTGAGGGTTGTAGGGAGGTTTTTTATGTGGTTGGTTATTTGCTGTTTGCTACTAAGTTTTTTATTCTAATGAGATTAATGCAGTTGTTTTGTTGTCCTTAATATCTATGGTTGAATTGAATTTAGAATCATTCTGTTGAGTTTTGTTGACTGCAGGAACTAAGGGGGAGAACTGTTTTAAGACGGTCTTGTGATTAATCGAACTAACCCTTTGCTTGATTTTATCAGTTGGTGCTTGTTGTCTTTATTTCTTTAGGAAACTTTCAAGTCTGATGTTTTCGAACTAGATGCCAAAGGGGGAGATTGAAAGGTATTTTATTTTGGCATTAGTTCGTTAGTTCGAACAAGCACCTGGAACCACAGAATAAAAGGGAGATCTTTACATATTCTATTTCCTTAATTAATCTTATTTTATATTCCATGTATAAGTCCGTGTAGATCTTATTATGACTTTGGATACTATAGGAGATCGGACGTGAAGAGATAAAGAAGAGGAAGAGAAGAGCCGTGCATGATGAGGAAATCAAGAGAGAGAGTAGAAGATTTTCTTGCCAAAGATACACTACCCTTTTGGAAGGAAATCTTGTTTGAAGTCCTATACCTTGTAGAAGACTCCAACCCTAAAAGGAGTTCATATATATACCCTGGAAGAAGCTTCCTGCACGTGCGTGTTTCAGAGAGATATTTCTTAGAGCAATTCAAGCTTCGTTTTTTCTGTTCTATTCCGAGTTGTATCCAGTTCAGTCTGAGAGTTCTTACATACTCAAGGACTGAAGTTGCTTTTTATTTAGTTTTTACTCATTCATCAAAACTATTTTACGGATCATACACTTAGGGAGTAAGTGTTGTTTATAAGTCCACGGGACGTGGCCGGAGAATTAGTTGATAGGATCGAGAGTAGTGTTGGCTAGATTTGAAGGGAGTTCAAGTCTTTGTAAGACCAAACTATGTTCATGAGTGATCTATCAATGAAAGAGCTCTGAGGGGAAGTTGGATGCTTCCCTGAAGAGTTTATTAATCTTCGGTTGATTGCTTCCGCATTTTACAATTATTGTTTTAGTTCGTACTATTATTAGCGCACTCCATGAAAAATATACGTTTCAAGATTGGTTTTGTAAGAAGTCTCCAAATCTGCTTAATAATAAGAGAATCATTGAAAACCCTAATATCCTTTTTGTCTAAGCCTCCAGATTCCTTAGGAACAGTAAACTTATTCCAAGCCAGCCAATGCACCTCTTTTTTATGCTCAATACCATTAGACCACCAGAAGTTTGCACTAGGCTGAGAAATTTCCTTACAAATGCTCAAAGGCAAACAAAAGCAAGACATAACAAAATAGCAAGACATTAATCACTGCTTTTAACAAAACCTCTTTCCCCGCTGAAGAGAGAAACTTCCAACTGATAAGCCTAGCTTTCATAGCAGATATCACAAAAGGAAGACCCAAATATCCCGAGGGGGTTTCCATTAAACGCTTCGAGCTGGAAGACGTTGAAAATAAAACCCAACCCCTTACTTCCTTCAATCACCAACAAATATAGCCTACTTCATCGGTCTTGGGACTTTCAAGCTCCCAAGCTCGGTGGCAATTTCGACCAGCGCCCCTGGGGCTTCTATGTCGATTCTGTAGTTTATCAGTTTTTTTCAATTGAAAAAATCGAATTGTCTGATTTTACTGCAATTGTGCTTTTGACCTTTAATCAAATTTCGTTCAATGCTCGCCACGTTTCACGTCCCAAATAATTGAATTTCATTCAACTTGGGTCAAATATAGGGGACTTGAGATCATCTCCTAATGCAGATCACATGAACCTGTGGCTCCTAGGGTAGATGATTTTTCCTTGGAAGTAGGTAAGTCTTTTTTTACTTTCAGTGCTTCATCATCCACAGAAGGGGAAATCAAGGTTGCATGTTGTTTTGAGCAGCAAGGTGAAGTCATTTTCCAGAGACAAGAGACATTGCAGGTCACAAATAGGACTTCTGAAGATTGGATTCTGGCAAATGGGGGTTGTCTAAGGCCAATGAACATGGCTGTCATACCTTTTCTCTTCTGCTGGAGTCCTCGGATCATGTAGCTGATTTAAAGAAATATCTATTGGCTTCGGATGGACTGAGCTCGGAGCTTGCAGAAATTAAAAACCTCATTTGTTCTTGTAATGTATTTGTTGCTACTTTATTTTAGTTTGTTGTATTGTTTGATAGGCATGATGCCTCTTAGGTAAGGTTTATCCTTTCTCGTGCTGCTAGTGTACATTGGAGTTGTAATCATTTGATTTACCGTGTATTCGACTGTTTGAGTTTAATCTAAGTTTTTAGTTTGCCGCTG